AAAGGCAGAGCTGAGTCCCTGTTCTACAGACCAGTGTCAGGGGGGAAGTCTGTGGCAGAAAAGTCACCAAAAGGGTTCCCAGGTCAGTGCTTGGACCTTGGGACTGCACTTCCTCACTTGTTGGAGGAAGTAGTTATGCCATAAACTCCTAGCATGGAGAGAAAAAACAATGCACAAAGAAGAGCTCAACATCAGGCTCTTCTCTTTTGTTTCGTTTTTGAGCTACTTGGGAAAGCAGGGGGGAAAAAGAGTAAAAATTAAGCACTTTAATACAGATTCAGGTTTGCAGATTCATTTCTAGGTTTGAAATAGAAATTGATTTTCTCCTTTCTCTGTGTGCCCAAGGTGAGCGTTGTTATTAAAAAAAAATTGAAATATATGTGGAAATCTGCATTCTTTTCTACAGGCCCCTTTTTCCTTCCAGGAAGATAAAAAGAGCAGCTCTGACATTTTATATTCTAAATTTTGACTGACCAGAACAAAATATTTTCCCAGCAATGTGGGTTTGCACCTAAACCTTTTTTGTGCATTGAGTTTGACCTTAGGATGTAGAATTTCATAAAACATTTATTGTCTTCTCCAGTTTTTAGAGCACAATTCCCCTGTGATACTTTTGTTTTCATCATCTGCTCTGAGAAGGATTCCAAGGCTTCTCTCACAGTTTGTATTTTAATTGTGGGTGAAGGAAAGAACCTCTGCTACTCGCAGCAAATTAGGCAGTGTCTCCCTAAGCAAAAGGAGTTCTAACAGGTAAAGAGGATGAGGATCAGAACCAGGAGGCAGCCAGGAGCGACCATGAGGAGTGGTTGTGGCAGAGATATTTTGTTCCATCAGTGAGCAGGTTTTGCAGTGTCCCACTCATCCATCCTGGCAGTGATCCCCTTCCCTCAGTGATCCTTTCCCTCAGTGATCCCCTTCCCTCAGTGATCCCTCAGTGATCCCCTTCCCTCAGTGATCCCTCAGTGATCCTTTCCCCTCAGTGATCCTCTTCCCTCAGTGATCCTCTTCCCTCAGTGATCCCTCAGTGATCCCCTTCCCTCAGTCATCCCCTTCCCTCAGTGATCCTTTCCCTCAGTGATCCCCTTCCCTCAGTGATCCTTCCCCTCAGTGATCCTCTTCCCTCAGTGATCCCTCAGTGATCCCCTTCCCTCAGTGATCCTCTTCCCTCAGTGATCCTTTCCCTCAGTGATCCCTCAGTCATCCTCTTCCCTCAGTGATCCTCTTCCCTCAGTGATCCTCTTCCCTCAGTGATCCCTCAGTGATCCCTCAGTGATCCTTTCCCTCAGTGATCCCTCAGTGATCCCCTTCCCTCAGTGATCCCCTTCCCTCAGTCATCCCCTTCCCTCAGTGATCCTTTCCCTCAGTGATCCCCTTCCCTCAGTGATCCTTCCCCTCAGTGATCCTCTTCCCTCAGTGATCCTTCCCCTCAGTGATCCTCTTCCCTCAGTGATCCTCTTCCCTCAGTGATCCCCTTCCCTCAGTGATCCTTTCCCTCAGTGATCCCTCAGTGATCCTCTTCCCTCAGTGATCCTCTTCCCTCAGTGATCCCTCAGTGATCCTCTTCCCTCAGTGATCCTTTCCCCTCAGTGATCCCCTTCCCTCAGTGATCCTTTCCCCTCAGTGATCCCCTTCCCTCAGTGATCCTCTTCCCTCAGTGATCCCCTTCCCTCAGTGATCCTCTTCCCTCAGTCATCCCCTTCCCTCAATGATCCTTTTCCCTCAGTGATCCCCTTCCCTCAGTGATCCCCTTCCCTCAGTGATCCCCTTCCCTCAGTCATCCTCTTCCCTCAGTGATCCTTTCCCCTCAGTGATCCCTCAGTGATCCTTTTCCCTCAGTCATCCTTTCCCCTCAGTCATCCTCTTCCCTCAGTGATCCTTTCCCCTCAGTGATCCTTTCCCCTCAGTGATCCTTTCCCCTCAAAAAACTGCAGCTGATAAAGACAAAATGAGGTAGAAAACAAAGCAACAAAACCTGAGCTGTTTGAGGCAGACAAAGGCAACTGCAAGGCAAACAAAGAAATGGTTTTTCCTCAATCCAGCCCCCACTGATGGCTCAGTCTGGATGCTGCAGGTTTACCACTAAATACTCTCCAAAGATTCTAATGCATCAATTATCAAAGCCAGTCTAGAGCTACCACTTTACTGATATTGTTAACGAGCTTGGCTATAAAGGGATTTGCAGCCTGAGTTTCATGACAGAGCCAAGGTATAATTTGCTCTGGGCTATAAAGCCCATGAATTATTGAGAAAATTTACTTCCATGGCTGCATTTTCTTTCTGAGCACAAGTGCTCGTGCTGAGTGCATTGTGAGAGCAGGGACAGTGATGGAGGCTCCAGCCTCAGCAGTCCATCTCCCCAGCACAGCCAGCAAAGAACAGCAGAAAACAACTGACAAAATGATCATTCTGAACAAATGAGAGAAGAAAAATTGCATGCTGAACAGTGCCAAGCTGAAATCACAATTAAAAATGCACTTTGGTAATTACAGAGAGGGGCTTTTCCCTTAGAGATGTCACAAAGCTTGTGTGGATATAATCAGACTTGAATAGATCCAGTGATGGTGACAAATCAGAATTCTGAGATCCTGCATCAGGCCAAGCCTTTCCCCTGCTGTGGGACCAACCTCCCCCCCTTTTTAGGTGTTCTTTTTAGGATTGGTTTCTTCTGGAAGTGAAGCCTTGGAATCACAAATTCCCAATCCATGTCCTCCTTCCCCTCCTTCCACTCTGCACACCCAACCAATAACTTCTGAATCCACTGACAAATTTCAAGCAAAGTGATAGAGAATTGTAGCTTTCAAAAATGTGAAGTTCTACCTGTTCTGTGAAACAGAAGCTGTAGTGAGAGATCATCACAGATGGTGGCCAGAGATGAGGGATCTCTCCAAGCTTCCATTGCAGGGGGACTCCAGCATGGCACCACCCTGGAGAAGGCCAGTCTCAAGAAAGACCTCAATAATTTCCTAACTATGAAGGTTACCCACAAACTGAGCTGCTTTTGTGTGCAGAGGGAAGTCTGTGTTCCTGAGGGCTGACTGGGGCATAGCTGCTGTTAACAATTTCTGAATTAATGAGCTACATTACAAGGCAACAGCCTGGGCAAAACACAAGATTTCCCCACCAGATTATGCCCTTATTCCTAGGAACCCACAGGCATTTGGGGTTTTGCATCTCCTGTGACCAACAGAACGGAGCTGGCAGTCCCGTGGCACCAGGGGCAGGCAGGGATTTGGAGCCTGGCGGTTCCCCTGCCCCGATCCCGTCCCCTGCAGGCACAGGAGCACCAGGGCAGGGCAGGGATTTGGAGCCTGGCGGTTCCCCTGCTCCGATCCCTTCCCCTGCCCCGATCCCGTCCCCTGCAGGCACAGGAGCACCAGGGCAGGGCAGGGATTTGGAGCCTGGCGGTTCCCCTGCTCCGATCCCTTCCCCTGCCCCGATCCCGTCCCCTGCAGGCACAGGAGCACCAGGGCAGGGCAGGGCAGGGATTTGGAGCCTGGCGGTTCCCCTGCTCCATCCAGCCCCGATCCCTTCCCCTGCAGGCACAGGAGCACCAGGGCAGGGCAGGGCAGGGAATTGGAGCCTGGCGGTTCCCCTGCCCCGATCCCGTCCCCTGCAGGCACAGCGAGCACCGGGGCAGGGCAGGGATTTGGAGCCTGGCGGTTCCCCTGCTCCATCCAGCCCCGATCCCGTCCCCTGCAGGCACAGGAGCAGGCAGGCACTGCCCTCTTGTGTCAGTCACGGTTCTCTCACTCGCCCGGTTTTGCATTCCCGGCGCTCAGCCATTTCCCTCCAGCACTAATTCCTTCTTCGGAGGGGCAGAGGCTTCGTTCTGAGTCCGATGGAAAAGTTTCAATAAATAAAAATACATCAGCTGCGTTTATGGCTTGGAGACATCCAGAGCTGGGCATATATTGCCCTTCCAGACAGACACATCCAGAGTTACCCTGGCTTATGCCCAGCCTCCATCTTGACACAGATAAGGAAAGCAGAGGAAAGAATAAAACAGCAGAAATATAATGAAGGATGACAGAGAGGAGACACAAGAGAAGCAGATTTGTTGCACCAGTCAGCCCTCATAGTAAGTTACAAGCAAGTTAAATATAGAACTGACCCTTCCCTGGGGAGCCAGACTCATGGACAGCTCACACATGACTCTGCAGCAGCATCTCGGGCCTGTGGCTGGCAGAGATCCTCATCTTTAAATCATTAGTGCTCATTTCCAGGGCCGTGCTTGCAGTAATGGTTGTCAGAGAACAACAGTCTTGTAAAAGCTGTGCAGGCTTTTGTGCCCAGCACTTCTACTGCCTGTTAATGACAGACACCAAATTTATGCTACATTCAGTAACAGCAGCGAGTGCTCAGGCTTTGCTTGCTGCTCTTACCCAGAGCAATGAGCCACCCTGGCAATTGCTCATGTTCCTAAAGCAGCCAGATTAGCACCTTGCTGAAGTGGATTCAAAGAAAATCACTGCTCAGGAGTGGACAAAATTTGGACCATTTGGAATATGGCAGAGCAAGGGAAAAAGCTGGCATTAAAACCCTGCCTCTGGAGCCCATATTTTTGTCTGGGCTGCTACTGCTGTAATCAGCTCCAAGCTCCCAGTTCTAAAATGATGCCCAGCAGTTATCCCTCTATCAGTACTTCACAAAGAACCATCCCTAAGAGCATTTTCTTTGAACTTTTGCCCAGCCTGTCCTGTGGGATTTGTATCTCTGACTTACTCTGGATGGCTCAGCACAGGCATGTTTTGTGTCACCTGCTCATTCCTGAGCTTGTCCATGTGCTGAACTGGTAAAAGCTGCCAGGAACCTGGGATTTCTCTTTCCTGTGCTGCCTGAGACTCTGACACCTGAGCAGATAACAAAATATAAATGTACCTTTGAAACATTTGATGAATATTTGAAACACATCAATAATACTGAACCATGTGTGCAGGTGTCTCTTTGGAATTAATGTGGAAAAATTAAATAGCAAAGGGAACCACCCACAAGGCAACACATCTTGAGAATAGAAATGGAAAGATTTATAGAACCTCAAAGCCAATCCCTTGGGGTCCCATGACCACCAGCAGCACAGGAGTGTCTGTGTCTCATGTGCCTCATTCCCTTTGTGCAGCTGGGAACCAACACAAAGCTCTTCCCTCCATGTTCTCCTGTCCTGGCATCTTCCTGCTCCTGGAGGAACATGGGCAGCACTTTGTCCTCAGCAGCTTCCTGGGCACTTGGTGTTCTCAAAGGAAGAGAAACCACAGAGGCTGTTCAGTGTCACTTGCTGGGATTCCCCCTTCCACTCCAGCTTGGGAAACTTCTGTTCTAGTACAGCAGCTTCCTGTCTCTGCTGTTCTGAGTGCGTATTCCCAAGCTGGCAAAACTCTCCTAACCTTTTTTATTGCTGGACACAAGGAACAATTTTTTTATCAGAAGATGAACAAGCATTCATGTCCCACTTTTACAGGCATTTTTAAACTGATGCCCTTTTACCTCATTTCATATCCTTGAAGAAGCTTTACCAGGGGATTACAGCAGTCACAGAAAACATTTCTTCTGACAGATCATTACAAGGGCATGAGAAGAAATATCTTTCCATCATAACCTACTTAGAAACCCAAACTCTTCATGTCTTCTTTAACTCTTACAGTCCTTCCCTTACTTTTCTCAGTTCACTTCCCATCTGTGGGAGTCACACCTCTGGCTGTTCTTTTGTGGCATCTTCTGAACCTTCTGAATTTGCCTGTGTTGCTGGATCTCTGCTGATTGTGTCAGGTGGGGACTGGCTGGGATTCAGCCCACGTGGTGTCACCTGTTCAGGGATGTCATCAAGTTTCTGGTTTGTCCGTGCCACTTGCTTTCCCATTTGAACAGCTTCATCATAGGAAGGTGGCAGGTCCATGGCATAGAGGCTGTAAGCTGGAGGGGACACAGTGTTCTTATCCATATCCACAAATACCAAGGGAATCTGGACACTTGGAGGGTACTGCCATGAGCTGTATGCTGGGAAGAAAAAGAATTAAAAATAAAAATTAAACACCTGCATGGGACACTGATATATAAAGGGCTAATTCTGCTTTTTACCAGGAAATTACAGACTTTTGTGTATTCAGAATGAATGCACTGTATACTGAAGCTGTCCATAGGGTCACTCCTGGTCTTCAGTGTCACACTGTCACCCTGATCCCCCCCTTCACCTCTTGTGCCCACCCTGTGGGGCTGGAATTTGTTCTGGGAGCTCACTGGGAATTGCTGTTCCTGCAGGGCTGGACACAGCTCCAGGCACAGGCTGAGGAGCTGAGGAGCTCGGGCTGAGGAGCTCAGGGTGAGGAGCTCAGGCTGAGGAGCACGGGCTGAGGAGCTCAGGGTGAGGAGCACGGGCTGAGGAGCTGAGGAGCTCGGGGTGAGGAGCTCGGGGTGAGGAGCTCGGGGTGAGGAGCACGGGCTGAGGAGCTCGGGCTGAGGAGCTCAGGCTGAGGAGCTGAGGAGCTCGGGGTGAGGAGCTCGGGGTGAGGAGCTCGGGGTGAGGAGCTGAGGAGCTCGGGCTGAGGAGCTCGGGCTGAGGAGCTCGGGCTGAGGAGCTCGGGCTGAGGAGCACAGGCTGAGGAGCATGGGCTGAGGAGCTCCGGGTGAGGAGCATGGGCTGAGGAGCACGGGCTGAGGAGCACGGGCTGAGGAGCTCGGGCTGAGGAGCTGAGGAGCTGAGGAGCTCGGGCTGAGGAGCTCGGGCTGAGGAGCTCGGGCTGAGGAGCTCGGGCTGAGGAGCTCGGGCTGAGGAGCTCAGGCTGAGGAGCTGAGGAGCACGGGCTGAGGAGCACAGGGTGAGGAGCTCAGGGTGAGGAGCACGGGCTGAGGAGCTCGGGGTGACTGCCAGGATACTCACAGGTCACTGTGCTGTGGGCAGTGCTGTCACTGTCAATGCCAATCACTGTCAGGTCACAGGGGTGCCGGGGGAAGGGCTCCACTGGGAGCCTTTTCTTCCTGCAGCAGAACTTGACACAGCTCACTGAGACCCCACAGAGCAGGAGCAGGGACACCAGCAGCAAGATCAGCCTGAAAGAGGGAGGGGGAACAGCTCCATTGCACTGCTTGTGTTTTACTGCTTCTAAACCACAATATCAGTTCACCCCAAATGGTCAGAGAGCAGGCCAAGCCCCCTTGCTTTACTTGTGAATGGGGCTGGATCCTGGGTTAGAAACTTGGATTACAAACACTCAGTCACGAGCTGAAGAATTACTGCCCAGCAGTACAGCCCCTTCTGGCTCACAGGTGCTGAAACATTTCACTATTTTGGGTTATTTTCAACTTCTGTGCAGGGAGAAGGGCTCTGCTTTCCACAGCAAGAGAGGGTTTGTACTTGGAGGGAAGTACAAACACAAACTTTCACAAGTCTAGGGCCTCTCTTTATAAACCAGCATGGAAATTATATTAAATTATATTTATGCCTTGAAAACACAATTCTATCTCTAGCTATTGCTTAAGGAAGTTTATCATTTAACAATTTACAATGTACTTAGACTGATATACCTGTGTTTCAGGTTCTCCTCTCCACTAAAACTCCACCTTCCCACCTCTCAGATTCTCAATCCAACTCCCTCTTTTCCTGAAGGCTTTTAGAAGCCTTCTCAATCTATTTTTGGTAACTGTGTCTTTTTAAACAGCTCTGTGTATCAACCAAAACTGCTTCAGGCTGAAGGAGGTGAAGTAATCCCACACAACTCCCTCTGTGTGCTCAAAGCCAATGCATGGACAGAATGCCAACCATGGAAACAGTGTCAGGGCACCTGTACCAGGTGTGAGGGAGGAGATGAATCCTGTTGGGAATCCCCCCTCCGGTCCCAGTTTGCCCCTCCCAGCAGGCTGTGCTCACTCTGTGCCCAGCAGAGGGGACAATCCCTGTCCCTTGTCCCTGTCCCATAGAAGGGAGTGAGCCCTGGATGGGGCAGGGCCAGGGCCCAGCAAATCCCTGCTGAGGCTGCCCTGTGGGAAGAGCCAATGGCCAGCAAGGCTCTGGCTGTTTAGGAAGAACAAACAAGCCCTGGAGTTCAACTCCAGAGCACTCAGAAGGGAAAGATGACACAGCCCTCAGTGAATGCTGGTCCCCACCTGACACCCAATCTCCCCTGGCCTCATCCAGTCCACTCCTCTGGAAACAGAGAAACCCTTCCCTGATCCTGCCTGGGAGAAGCCTTTGCACTGCCCTGCTCCAAGTGCTGCTCATAAAAACCTCCAAATGGTTCTGGGTTAGGAAGATTGAAAGCCAACTTACCAGACATACCACAGACTTGTCCAATCAGACATGTTCTGAGGGCATCTGTGAAGGAAGGCAGATGATTCACTGATTTAAACAGTGCAGGTATGACAGGGAATGCACTTCCCTGGGGTGGGAAAGGGAAAGCATTCAGTGAGAGTATGGAGCAAAACCACCTTAGATTGTTCTTCATGGTTGTACCATTACTCCAGATGAGGACATGCAAACAATCCCACTGTAAAAGTTGCTTCTGAGTCAATAAATCTTTTTCTTGAGTGGTGCTTTACTCTTGCTTGGGGGAGAGAATGACTTGTGCAGGATTCCCAAAAAGCCAAATCAGTGTTATTTAAAGGTAACTGAGATGAGGTGCCTCATACCTGGGGCCTGTCTGAAATGCTGGTCTGGACAAGTGTCCCCCAGATATTTTAAAGTTACTTTTTCCATAGCTCCAGTGCAGGCAGAAATTGCTTTTTTCAGCTCTGGTGCAGCACAAAGGAGGAGAACAGCTCCTGTGCCATTTCAGCAGGGTTGTGTGTGCTGAACCTCCTGCAATGGATTTGTGTGACAGAACGGTGGCTCTGACCAGAGCACAGCCTCTGCAAACTGCAAACCAGGGACACCTGGGAGTCGTCTTGGGAGAGAACCGTTCAGTCCACAGCGCAAGGGCAGCCAAGTGAATTTAAAAGTCGCTGACTGTCTTAGAGATCAAAAAAGAAGCTGTAAGGGATGGCCATGAGCAAGTCACCGTTCTGGTGTGGGAATGTCACTTGGTCACGGTGGGAAAGGCTCGGGAACAGGCAGCGGTTACTCACCGGGCAGAGCTGTCACGCTTGTTCCCAGAGCAGAGCGATGCCCGGGGAAGGCAGAGCCCGCGGTGGATCAGCAGGTGCCGGAGGAGAAGGGCCCGTCCCTGCTGCCTGTGCCGGAGGAGAAGGGCCCGTCCCTGCTGCCTGTGCCGGAGGAGAAGGGCCCGTCCCTGCTGCCTGTGCCGGAGGAGAAGGGCCCGTCCCTGCTGCCTGTGCCGGAGGAGAAGGGCCCGTTCCTGCTGCCTGTGCCCGAGGCTCCCGAGGCGAGCGAGCGTCCGTGAGCCCCGGGAGCCGCTTCAAGGACACGCGGCCGGCGCTGAAAGGGGACACCGAGCCCTGGGGCCGGCCCGTGCTGGGCAGCGCAATAAATAAACCGGCATCAGCCCGGGGGGGCAGAGCCGGGCGGGCAGGGCTGAGCAGCCCCGGGCAGCCCCGGGCAGCACCGCCCCGCCCGCGGGAGGGGTCGGGGCCGGGCGGGGCAGAGCGGCCCGGATACCCCGGAGTGCCCCTGGCCCTGCCCCTGGCCCTGTCCATGTCCCTGCCCCTATTCCTGCCCCTGTCTCCCCCTATCCCTACCTCTGCCCCTGTCCCTGTCCCTGTCCCTGTCCCTGCCCCTATTCCTGCCCCTGTCCCCCCCTATCCCTACCTCTGCCCCTGCCCCTGTCCCTGCCCCTGCCCCTGTCCCTATCCCTGCCCCTGTCCCTGTCCCATCCCCTGTCCCGGTCCCTGTCCCTGCCCAGCCCGGGATGGCAGGGAGGGGCTACAGGGGACAGAGCTCCGCTTGCAGAGCTTTCCCCGGAGCGCTTCAGGGCTGCACCAGATGCTCTCACCAGACCAGAACCCATCAGGTGTGCGGCCCCTGGACACACCCTGAGCCTCTGCTGCGTCAGAGGGACTTGAAGGAGAAATAAAAGAATGAGAAACCTGGTATGAAATATATGAGTCAGAAACAAATGTTTAGAAGAGCAGATAATTTCCCCTTCTAAAGCCAGCCTTGTTAAAGCAGATGAAACACGACTGAAAAGGTACTGACGGCCCTTCAGGATTGCTGTGCTCCAGGCTATTTAACTGTGTCCCACGTTTCAAATGTAGAAATTCCTTCTCTCCACCCATGAGCCTTTGTTGAGTTCTCCTCCCTGTCCAGCTGAGGAGGGCAGCAATGGAGTGGCTTTGGTGGCACCTGGGGTCCTGTCAGGGCCAGCCCAGCACAATCCATGGGGAGCCCAATGCACACAATGCCTGGGAAGCACCAGGTGATGTTCCCTACTTTGGATTCCTAGAACTGAAGGCCGGTGGTTCCAGGCTCAGCAATGGCATGTGACAAAGTGACTGCAGTGTTTTCCTCCAGCACTGCTCAGGGTCATGGGGCCATTGCTCATTTAGGGAAACCTGCGCTCATACGTGTGAGGAAATAGCTGAAGTCACTTCTGGAGAAGCAGGACATGAATTAATAAATGTGTGTGACACCAGTGCTTGCTCTCTCACTCTGCTTTACAAATGAGCTGGGTTTGCCCTGAAGGATTATTAAGATCATACGTGGGGGTGGGAATTGCTCATTAAACCAGAACTGCATCAGTGCCATGAAGTTCATGTTCACTTTTAGATCCAAATCTGAAAGCACGAGTTTGTATCCAGGAACCCAAGAGTGGTCACAGTTGCAAAACTCAGTTTGAAAGCAGAATGGTCACAAGTGCAGTTAGAAGAGCAGAAAAAGTCAACTTCCAGATAATGAAGAAATACTTCTGAGGTCACATTTTCCATATTGTCCTCACAACAACAGCTCCATTCCTATTGGAGTCTTGTGATATGGGAACAGAAACAGCAGGTTCCATGTTTTAATGCCCAGTGTGGATAACCCACTCTGGAAGCCCAGAATTGAACAGAGTTGGTGCCTTTCCAAGAGCTGAACTTGCAGGAGCTGTGCTGAGCTGTGCTGGGCACTGGGAGGTGGCACTGATCCATGCCAGGAGAACACACCAGCACTCCCTGTGTGCTCAGGGAATTCCCTACAGACCCACTCACTATTCCTGGATCAGCTCCATGTGTCTGAGTTACCAGGGAATTGTTTCCATCTTCAGCTGTCCCAGTCAATTTTCTGTTCATTGGAAAAACATCAAGAAGCCGTTGCACATAAAACACATTGTACATGAGAATTGTGTGGGCAGGAGGAGCAGCCTCACAGAATTCCCACATTTTCAGTAAGCTGAAGGTGTGCATCTCTGACCATTGCAGGTTTGCATCATGACAATTCTTACTGTGGCAGCTGCCAATGGAATGGCAGTGAAACACCCAGGGTTACATTGTGCAGACACAGGAACTGCTCCTGCTTTTGAAACCGTAGTGGTGTCCCAGGTGAGGCAGCACAGCCGGCACACGTTCCCAAGGGCTCTGCTTTTCCACAGCAGACAATTTGTTTTCCCTTCCACATCATTCTGTGTCTCATTGCCTGGGTGCTGCCCCAGGTGAGAGCTGGCACTGCACACTCTGTGTCCCCAAAGAACAAAGCAATCCAAGAGAGGGAAACCCAATCCTGAGCAGCCATTGTGCCCCAAGAATGATAATTTTTGAGGACAAGCTAAAACACCAGGCTTTTCTCTTATGAAAGGGACTAAAACCTTCTCAGATTTCCATAAGTGCTTTACAGAACGTCAGCTGGAGTTTACAGGGAGAGTTTACTTTATTTTCAGTCCTCCAGAAATAACCACCTGTTCCTGTTATCCTGGTCCAAGCCTCCCCCGAGACAACAAACACATCCTGAATTTTAAACATGGAGACTTTGGCCAGAGAAACCCAGAACTTATGTTCACTTCAATCCTGTGAAAATATTGATCCAAGCTCTCCAGTCCCAGGGATGCAGGTACAGTGGGTGACACCCCTGCTCACCCCTGGGTGCCAGAGGTGCCTTCAGCTGGTTGGTGGCAGCTGCTCCTTACCCAGCCTAACCCTGTGAGGGCACCAGTGTCACTGTCTTTACATCATTCTTTAATTTTTTACTTCTTTTCATCCTCTGGATGCTGTTTCTCAGTACCTGACCTCTGTGAAGTGGAAGATTCCTAAGACAGGGGTGTTGTTTCCTGGTAGATAATGTAACACTTATTTTCAGCACTCTGGATGGTTATCATAACCACAGTCTGGAGACTCATTTGTTTCAGCCATCACTTTTTGGTTTGCAGGAGTGAAATCTGAAGGATCCTCACACACTGGATGCCCACAAATGCAGTGCCTGAGGCAGTTTCTCCACTCTCACAGGCTGAGCCCTTCCTTGCTCACTGAGCAGTGCCCTGCCATGAGGTGACTGTGGAGTGGGCAGAGCTGTGAGCAGTGCTTTTAGTGGCTGTAGTGAGATTTACTCACCCTTTTGGGGCTGCAGGGGGCCAGCACACAAAGCCCATTGTGCCCAGCCCCAGGCCCAGCTGTGGCAGCAGCAGCACCCAGGGCCTGCAAGGAAGGCAGAGCTGTCCCTGGCTGGCACTGCCACCCCCAGCTGCTGCCCAGCCCAGGACACTGGGGCTGCTTCAGCATCTGCAGTCTTTAGACTGAAGAGTTAAGTGACTCCACAGGCACTCGAGCCATTATTAAATGAGAACACATCTCAATGGATCAAACACTGGCTGGAAAAACAAGGAACCCCCTCTTCACTCCCACAAACCTCCTCTGTCAAAGGGGGAGCCTGGTTTAAATGTTCTTGTGACAATTGCTCCCCTGCTTGTTCCTCGTTACCACAGGGATATTTACAAATAAGGTTTCTATTTTCTGATTGCATCATCTGAGTCAGGGATTTGGCAGCCAGGGGCCAAAGGGCAGCAACGCCCTCGAGTGCTGGGGAGGGAACTTTGCCACAGGCTGCCTGTGACTCAGGAAAGAGTGTGATAAGAGATGCACAGGATTATCCTGTGCCCAATGGCTGCTGCCTTCCTGCTCCCTGCATTCCCCAGCTCTGCTTCCTGAACCAGCTGCTGTTTCCTGACAGAAGTTCCACCTGCAGGGCACTCTGGCTTCCCCAGAACAGCAGGATTCTGCTCTCACCTAGAATTCAGCAGAAGGCAAATATAGAAATACAAAGTTCCTGGACAGCCAGGATCTCTGGCAAGTGTCTGCCCATATCCAGGGAAGAGCACAGGAATGTTCCCCCCATTTGATTGTACATTAATTGTACATTGTTAAAGTGACTCCCCAAATGATTTGGAGGAGGCTTGAATAAGAAACTTTATTCTGGTCTTAGAAAAAGTCAAGGCTTTCCCAAA